AGGATTCTATACATGAAGTTATGGGTTTTGCGTTAGTATAATATTACCAGCTGCTTCAAAATGAAACATATCAGCTCAGTAGGTTAAGTCTGTAATCGTTTATTTCCAATGCACCTATAATAACTGTGCTGACATGAAAATCATGTATGAATTTACATCTTTAAGTAACTAAGCCACAATGAAAATACTAACACCTCATTAGCTGTCCTCTACAGAAGAGCCATGGAGGTATCCGTGGTAACCACATGTGTTTCAGTTCCCGTCAGTGTGAGATTGAAGGAGAGAAAAACACTTATTTTCTCGCAAAAATTGTCTTATTGACTGTTCCACTCATAAAATCTAATTTGTCAATGGGCTGCTGCTAAAACCTGTCAACAAGCGCTGATGAGTGTTTTTCCATTAGAAGATTGTAGTGGCTTAGTGCTGCAGAAGCAGATGTCACGAAGAGTTTGGTGCAAGTTAAACAAGAGGAGAAATGAGGCGCCGTGATTTATCGTCATTCTGGGGGAACGTATTACATAATAAAGTAAACACCATGCAGACGCAGCACATTCTACTGTGCGGCGCTCAGACTGGTGAACAGTGGAGTCACAGCACTCTCTGGTGGATTAACTACACAATAATGACACTGGTAATAAAGTAGTTCCAGCCTTTATAAAGACAGACACCGTTTATCTGCAATTAGCTTAAATCACCACCGTCGTTTGACCTTTAATTGGTAAATTAGATCATATATAATGTTTTGAATTCTGATCTTCACTGCTCCAGGTGCGTGACTGTCGCCTGGTCGGTCTGCTGGACCTCGCCCTGGAGAAGGATTACGTCAGGGGCAAGGTGGCCGGCTTCATGAACAAGCTGATCGACATGGGCGTGGCTGGATTCAGAGTGGACGCCTGCAAGCACATGTGGCCCGGCGACCTGGCTGCCGTCTACGGCCGTCTGCACAACCTCAACACCAAGTGGTTCTCAGGTGGCTCCAGACCCTTCATCTTCCAGGAGGTACACGTTTGTTTTATTTCCGCACAGGATTGATGGAATGTTTCAAACAGAGAAAAGATAAAATATCGTCCAGGACACAACCGTGGACATCTGTACAACTTAGTCTATATACAGTAGGTGCATATGTCGTCATCTATTTGACAGTTTAGTGTTGTGCTTTGAGCTGAACCTGCAGGAAAACATTACAGCCAGTGAGCATGAATTTAAACATCTCTTTTAAAACTTTCACTGCCTTTCTTTGTTCTGATGCAACAGCAGCACGTACGTTCTCATCTTTGAAAGCTGCCAAACATATTATTGTAGACTCATAAAACATCTAATTCACCAACGTACCACAGCCTCCAGGAATATGCAGGATACATGGATGATATCAAATATGTGCTGTTTTCCCTGCAGGTTATTGATCTGGGAGGTGAGCCCATCACATCCAGGGAATACTTCCATCTGGGAAGAGTAACTGAGTTTAAATATGGAGCCAGACTGGGAGGAATCTTCAGAAAGTGGAACGGCGATAAGTTGTCTTACACCAGGTATGTGTGTTTCTGCTTTTGTGGCTGGATCATATTTGAAATTAAAATATTGGAAGATCATTTCATCTCATAACATAGTTACAATGCTGTTTGTTTAGGGAAAAACTTTTTACGTGCAAAGGTTTCAAGTGATGTTGAAGACATAGAGTTTCTGAATTAAACTCTTTTGTCCAAACTTTGGAACTTTGCAAGCTCATTGATATAATTTTGTTCTTGTCTCCAGGAACTGGGGAGAGGGTTGGGGTTTTATGCCCAACGGCAACGCTTTCGTCTTCGTTGACAACCACGACAACCAGAGAGGCCACGGTGCCGGTGGAGCTTCCATCGTCACCTTCTGGGACCCCAAGCTCTACAAGATGGCTGTTGCCTACATGCTGGCTCACCCTTACGGAGTACCCAGGGTGATGTCAAGCTTCCGCTGGAACCGACACTTTGTGAACGGAAAGGTACAGATATCGTTTACCCATCTAGCAATACAATTTTTATCTTACCTTTTCTAGCCAAGAGCAATCAACACCAGTGTACAGTGTTTTGTTGCTTCAACTGAAGTTAGCATGCTAACCAGCTATCCCCAGGATGGATGAGGCTAGCCAGCCTGGACAACCGATCCAGGCTACATGGACCGGTTTGACACTGTGGCGTCCAGTCCAGTGAAAAATTAGAAGCTTAAAGTTATGGTTATTAGGAACATGGCCTAACAGGTGATAGTGAGTAAATGCACGTGTATTTGAAAAATGTTTCCCTCACTGCAGGACCAGAATGACTGGATGGGACCTCCCAGCCACGGTGATGGATCCACCAAGTCAGTTCCCATCAACGCTGATCAGACCTGTGGAGACGGATGGGTGTGTGAGCACAGATGGCGTCAGATCAAGTGAGTCTTCAGGGAGCGAGGGGCAGCACGTGCACACAACATCGTTCACCTCTGCTGGGTCACATGCATGTGAAAACTGGGGTCATTTAGACCTCATGAATTAATTTTTTGTATCTCCTCTCTAGGAACATGGTCAAGTTCCGTAATGTGGTCAACGGACAGCCTCACTCCAACTGGTGGGACAACAAGAGCAACCAGGTCGCCTTCGGACGTGGAAATCGTGGTTTCATCGTCTTTAACAATGACGACTGGTGAGGACTTCATAATCTAACTAGAGTTGATAAAAACAAATGTCTCTCTCGTGACACTATTTGTTTCCATTCTGTTTCAATAGAAAATTCAGCAAAATAATACGACAAGGTTCTTCTAAAGAATTTTAAAATCTAAAAAAATGTCTTCCCCCTCAGGGATCTGGATGTGACCCTGAACACCGGCATGCCCGGTGGCACCTATTGTGACGTCATTTCCGGCCAGAAGGAAGGAAACAGGTGCACTGGGAAGCAAATCCACGTTGGAGGTGACGGCCGTGCTCACTTCAAGATCAGCAACAGAGACGAGGACCCCTACGTTGCTATCCACGCCGAATCCAAACTGTAAAAACATCCTCAGTTAAATTTAAATAAAGTTAATTTTCTAACTTAAATAATGAGCCTGATTTTTTTCTCTGTCACATTTTTTTTTCTTTTTTGCCCAAAAAGTTTTCTTTAATCTACCAGATTGGTATAAATGAAAGCCTTGCATTTCTATTTAACGGAGGTATGGAGTAACTCCATCTTATTACCCAGCTCTGTTTTAATTATTTTTGCTTATTAATCATACATGTATCCTGGATACAGATTTTTCTCCTGATCTCTGGCAGCTTGGCCCTTCACCCACATTAGCACATGAGGGAAAATGCTTGCGTTTTGACTGGTTTACTCTATCTGACCTCCAACCTTTTCTCGCTCAGACGTTGCTGTGCAGCTTTTCCTTGATGCAAAGTGAATAACAACACAATGAAGTTACATGTTTTGTGAGTGATAATAGGATTTTGTGATGAAGTCAGTTACTGTGTGTAAAACAGGCCACTACGGAAACTTTTCTTTCAGAAATGCTCATCTGACTGATACTTATAATATCAGAAGAACACATTTTAATATGTTTGGAGGAAAGAGAAGAGCATTTTCAATAAACAAGGAACAGATTCGGTAATAATCTAAAAAGAGTGAGAGATAAAGGCAACCTGTTACTCCACATTCAGGTTGTGAAGCCAAACTAGTGTCAAGGACAGTCACCGCATTATATAAACAGATTTCTGTCCCAAATCCAGGTTGTGAAGCTGAGTGTAGCTTGAAGCTGCCTGTGTCAACATCACGTGGTTATTGAACTGAGTGAGCAAATTATAAAAAAGGAAAAATTGAGGTTTTCGGGTTCTGACTGGTAAGAGTTCCTAAAACAAATGTAATGTGGTCATATTTAATTGAATGTCAAATAAATCTCCTTAAAGTCTAAACATGACATCATTGTAATGTTTAAACGCAGAAAACATTGTTTTTGAGGGTTATAGTTGTTTTTGCATTTCTTAAAAGTTTGAGGAGGGACTTGATGTGCACCTCATGTCCTAAGATTTGCATTTAATCTATTTTTTTCCGCCGCTAGGAAACCTTGATAAAGAAGCACCTGTTTAACATCCATGCTGATATTTGCCGGCCTCTCATTGGTTCGACAGAAGAAAAAAACCGAGTATAAATTCAAAGAAGAGAAGCAGAGTGTGTTATTTATCTCTCATCCAGGGAGAAGCATGAAGTGGTTCGTTCTCGCGGCTCTGTTCGGGCTCGGCCTCGCCCAGCACAACCCACACACCAAGCACGGCAGGACGGCCATCGTGCACCTGTTTGAGTGGCGCTGGGCCGACATCGCTGCAGAGTGTGAGCGCTTCTTGGGTCCCAATGGCTTTGGTGGAATTCAGGTATGTATGATATCAACAGTGGGGGGTGACACATGGTTAGCAATGTTGCTACACAGCAAAACTTTTACCGGTTCCAGTATCACTTCAGCTGGGATCCTTCTGTGTGGAGTTTGCATCTTCTTCCTGTGTCTGCAGGTGTTTATTCCAGGAACTCTGACTTCCTCTCACAGTCAAAATACTTGGATTCTCAAAAATGTTCTGTAAATTGTCCACAGATGTGAACATAAGAGTTTATTTGTTTGTCTCTCTATATTGACCTTGTGGCCGCAGATGAAAAATAAAGCGATGTTCAAATCTTTCTTGAGAATCTCTCATCCGAAAAACCTTCTTGGATCATTTCATTCAGAAAACTGAAGTAGAGACAGATGGTGAATTATGAACTCTCTTCAGTTCTTTCATTTTCTATCACACACCTCTATCGCAGCTTTTATTAGACAATACTATTGCTACACACACGTCTTTAAACAGGACAGTTTGCATGGATTTAGTTAAATACAATTTAAATATTGGCATCAACAGGGTTATTTCAATCTTTTGAAAGTCCATATTACTGTTTCCAGAACTCTACATGTTAAATTGCTGCAATGCCTCTTTTATAACTGTTAAGTAGACTCATTACAGTCCTGGTTAGCAACGATCTTCTGTCTGCAGACAATCCCTGTGTTAAAACTGATTATTGCTGCCATGTCTTTTCCTCTGTGCTGCTCAGATCTCTCCTCCAAATGAACACATCATACTGAACAACCCCTGGAGGCCCTGGTGGCAGAGATACCAGCCAATCAGCTACAACCTGTGCTCCAGATCTGGCAACGAGGACGAGCTGAGAGACATGATCACCAGATGCAACAACGTCGGGGTAAAGGACATTAGCACAGTAATTTAGTGAGAGGCATTAGGAACGTTGCTCTCCTGTGTTCGACAGCAGCTCGTAAATCTGCAGCCTCGTACAAGACAACAAACTCCTTCCAGATACATAACGAACCATTTGACTCCATCTGCATCGTTATCAAAGTGTTTTACAACGCAGGTATTTCAGAACATAAAAGCGATCACTGAATGAAAAGCACCAATTAAACAATTGATGAGTCTGTTGTGAAGAACTGTCATTTAACATTTTTACAAAGTAAATTCCCAACAGGTCAACATCTATGTGGACGCCGTCATCAACCACATGTGTGGAGCCGGCGGAGGAGAGGGAACGCACTCGTCTTGCGGAAGCTGGTTCAACGCCAACAAAAAGGACTTTCCCAGCGTCCCTTATTCCGACTGGGACTTCAACGACCACAAATGCAGGACGGCCAGTGGCGAAATTGAGAACTATGGTGACGCTTATCAGGTAATGACTGTTACTCAGGGAGACAATGTCAATTCTCCCTGATTAACGTCTTCCACTGAATTTAAAAACACAGTGTGGTCGGACGCTGTCACAATTACCCGCAGAATATAATTACTTTTGATTGTAAGTCTGATCGTTGTTATATAGATGTGATGGAAAATCATCTTAACACAAACAACAGTTATTAATAAAAGCTATACCAAGGTGAATTTGATCATTTATATTAGTAGGAAGAGTTTAGGACTAATTATAATAACAACAACAATAATAATATAAAAACTTTATTTCTATAGCAATTATCTAAACAAGGTTACAGAGTGCTTTACAACATACATGGGAATAAACAAAACAGAACAAAACACGACAAGTAAATGTTATAAAGTTAGCTCTGTAATATAACCTTCAATCCTGAATTTACCTGGCAGTCAATGAGAGGAGGCAACAGTTGGAGAGCTTTGGGGCCTTGACGCTTGATGTTGGTTAAAATACAAGCAGCATGTATATAACAGCTGATCTTCACTGCTCCAGGTGCGTGACTGTCGTCTGGTCAGCCTGCTGGACCTCGCCCTGGAGAAGGATTACGTCCGCGGAAGGGTGACCGACTTCATGAACAAGCTGATCGACATGGGCGTGGCTGGATTCAGAGTGGACGCAAGCAAGCACATGTGGCCCGGCGACCTGCAAGTGGTCTACGGTGGTCTGCAACACCTCAACACCAAGTGGTTCCCCGCTGGCTCCAGACCCTTCATCTTCCAAGAGGTGGTTTGTTTTTTTTAGAAGTTGCTAAAGGAATGATTCGATATCTCAAGAAGACAGCAGGGAAATGTCAACCAGTGTGCAACTATTAACCTTCACTGAACCTAAAGGCTGGGTGACAATTTGCAGGGGAAAAAAAAGAAAATGTTGGCAGGAAAAAATGGATGTGCATTCAAGTGCGTGATTGGACAAACCCCCCGGCAGTAATCTGCATGCAAGCATGTGATTGGAAGAGTAGGAACCGCCCACTTGTCCAAATATTGGAACTGATAATGCCTCTGCAGACAGCAGAGCCGTGGGAAAGCAAGCGCAGGAATCAAGGTGGTGAACCCAAAAACTGTGGGAGCAGATGGTTGCATAAAAGAAGTCATTATCAGCCGACAAGCGCCATAACAGCTCACATGATTTAATGCTGTTATATAAAGCGTAACTTGGAGGTTGTAAGTTCCTAGAATGGCTGCAATCAAAAAATAACAGTGTGCTCTGTCTTCACTAAAGGATACAAGGGTTTAACTCCAGAAACATGGTTCTTATTATAGAACCAAAATGTTTATTTGACGTATCAGTTTTTGTAAATTCACAAATCTCTGACATGGTACAATTAAAATAAACTACATGACATGAATGATAGATGGATCAGCGATGTAAATTTGATGCTGTTTTCCCTGCAGGTTATTGATCTGGGAGGTGAGTCCATCACGTCTCAGGAGTACGTCGGTCTGGGAAGAGTGACGGAGTTCAAATATGGAGCCAAACTGGGAACTGTCTTCAGAAAATGGAATGGCGAGAAGCTGTGTTACACCAGGTTTCTGCCACATTTTATTTGCAAAGGCCTCTACTGACAAATACCCATCTCAACTACTTTGTGTAATATTTTGCTGATTCTTTTACGTGTGAGCTTCTCATTAATATAAGTGTGTTCTTGTCTCCAGGAACTGGGGAGAGGGTTGGGGTTTCATGCATGATGGAAACGCTGTTGTCTTCATTGACAACCACGACAACCAGAGAGGCCACGGTGCCGGTGGAGCTTCCATCGTCACCTTCTGGGACGCCAGGCTCCATAAGATGGCCGTTGCCTACATGCTGGCTCACCCTTACGGAGTACCCAAGGTGATGTCCAGCTTCCGCTGGAACCGACACATTGTGAACGGAAAGGTACGGTTTAGCAGAAATGAACATGAAATGTATTGTGCATATTTGAAATAGGTTTTTCTAAGTCAATTCATTCCTAATGGTCCTCCAGGACCAGAATGACTGGATGGGACCTCCCAGCCATGGTGATGGATCCACCAAGTCAGTTCCCATCAATCCTGATCAGACCTGTGGAGACGGATGGGTGTGTGAGCACAGATGGCGTCAGATCACGTGAGTCCTCAGTGAGCAAGAGTGCATCTTTTCTACAATAGCTAAATGTGCGGTTAAACAATCCACCTCATTGCACCAGTTAGAAATGTCTTTTTTTCTTTTCTTCCACATACAAACACAACTTTTTTAAAGTCGATCACCTGAAACTGAGACACGTTATTAGGCCCAGATGAGATTTTATACTTTGCTAACAA